TTTTAAAAATAACATAGAACCCAAATGAAAAAAAAGAGAAAAATCCAACCTTTTATTTAAGTACATTACTTTGGTGGTAAAAATAAAATCACACACTTAGAAAATAAAAAACGTGATATCACGTGTCCCACAATTATTGGCACCCCTGTTTATAATGTGGATAAGGACTTCTAAAAATTCTCTTTTCAAAAAAAAAAATACATAGAACCCAAATGAAAAAAAAGAGAAAAATCCTACCTTTTATCTAAGTACATTACTTTGGTGGTAAAAATTAAATCACACATTTAGAAAATAAACAACATGAAATCATCATATTCCTACTCCAGGGAAACAGGAAGTCATGAATTACTAATTAAAAGTTCCAACTTTAGAAACTACAGCAAAATATATTTAAAGGAAATCAATTTCATTTTTCAGCATAACTGTCAGGGGTGCCAATAATTGTGGGACACGTGATTCCACGATTTTTATTTTCTAAGTGTGTGATGTTATTTTTACCACCAAAGTAATGTACTTAAATAAAAGTTTGGATTTTTCTCTTTTTTTTCATTTGGGGTTTTTTTTTTTTTTTTTTTTTAATGGAGAGTTATTAGAAATCCTCAACCACATCTTAAATAGGGGTGCCAATAATTGTGGAGGGCTCTGTAAATGGCTCTCATTAAGTGAGTACCGGGTCGTGTGTCCTATCAAAATGTTTTTATTTCTTTCTGAGTCCGTCTCTGATAAATTTCAAGGCCCTCTGACACAACTTGTGAAACATTTGGGATGATAGATTTCCGAGGTTGAATCCCAAACGCAATGAAATTCCACAGAACAGAAGCCTGGCGTTCAGTTTCACAGATCCTCCCAAAATAGGAAATTTTTTCCCTTTTTTAGAATTATTTTGATTAATTATTTTGATTAATTTTGGGGCTCAAAAACCTGAGAAAGGTGCTATTCTACCATACAGACTGCACAACATTCACTTCAGGAATTACTGTATAGATCTTAAGAGGCATTTCTAAGCATTTATTTAGATTTAGATTATTTTTATAGAGTTTTACTGTAAATCTTGACTCTGTACGTAATTGAAATTCCTTTTATGATCTGCCCTGTAGTGATAAAGAGACTAAAGACAACTGAAGAAAACATGGAAATGAGGAAACGCTAAACGTAGACGTTGATATTTTGAGTTCCTGAGTCAGAAAAGAGACACAGAAGACAGTAAAGATAACAGAAAAGGGAAAAGCTTGAAGGCTGGATAGAGTAACCAGTTCTGTGTGATCCTCTAAAAATGCTCTGACTTGACTTTTACCAAAAAGTAAACGTTTGAACCATAGATCTTTAATGTTTCTCTGTAGATATTTGGAGCCGTTTGTCTTTGTCTGCCTCTCCCTTTGCTATCACTTTTAATTTTTCATCAAACTTTGGCTCTGCTCAAGTCTCTTGTGACCTCTTGTGGTGAACGTTTAGCACCGTGTTCAGCGCCTCTGGGAACCCGTTTTAACCTTTAAACGCTAAAACTTTCCCAAAAAACAGGAATGGGTTCAATTCCTAAAATTTATGTAACCGACATAAACCGTCAGTTACATTAAAATAGAAAAAAAGGTATTTGATTGTCTATCAATCTATCTATCTATCTATCTATCTATCTATCTATCTATCTATCTATCTATCTATCTATCTATCTATCTATCTATCTATCTATCTATCTATCTATCTATCTATCTATCTATCTATCTA